CCAGCAGTGTTAGGCGGGTTCCTTTTTCTGCACACCCTCTTCAGAGTTTTTAGACTGAGAGCAGAGCAGTTCAACTCAGTTTTTTGCTGGATCATTTTTATTTTTTTTTTATTGATTTTTTTTTGTTTTCCAGAGCCTCCAGTTCTTCTAAAAATAAAGGGCCTTTCCTGGTACAAAGGTGAACATTAGGTGTTTGGGCTCAGTGCCTCTGACATGGTTAGTTGACAGCTTATTTTTTTTTTAATTAATTAATTTTTTATTGAAGGATAATTACTTTACAGAATTTTTTTGTTTTCTGTCAAACCTCAACATGAATCAGCCATAGGTACACATATATCCCCTCCCTGTTGAAACTCCCTCCCGTCTCCCTCCCCATCCCACCCCTCTAGGTTGATACAGAGCCCCTGTTTGAGTTTCCTGAGCCACACAGCAAATTCCTGTTGGCTGTCTATCTTACATATGGTAATGTAAGTTTCCATGTTACTGTTTCCATACATCTCACCCTCTCCTCCCCTCTCCCCATGTCCATAAGTCTAGTCTCTATGTCTGTTTCTTCATTGCTGCCCTGTAAATAAATTCTTCAGTGCCATTTTTCTTAATTCTGTACATATGCATTAGAATATGGTATTTATCTTTCTCTTTCTGACTCACTTCACTCTGTTTAGTAGGTTCTAGGTTCATCCACCTCATTAGAACCGACTCAAATGCATTCCTTTTTATGGCTGAGTAATATTCCATTGTGTATATTTACCACAGTTTATCCATTCATCTGTTGATGGACATCTAGGTTGCTTCCATGTTCTAGCTATTGTAAATAGTGCTGCAGTGAACAGTGGGATACATGTGTCTCTTTCAATTTTGGTTCCTCAGAGTAAAGGGCTAGGAGTGGGATTGCTGGGTCATATGGTGGTTTTATTCTTAGTTTTTAAAGAAATCTCCATATTGTCTTCCATAGTTGCTGTATCAATTTACATTCCCACGAACAGTGCAAGAGCATTCCCTTTTCTCCACGTCCTCTCCAGCATTTATTGTTTGTAGACTTTTTGATGAGGGCCATTCTGACCGGTGTGAGGTGACACCTCATTGTAGTTTTGATTTTCATTTCTCTAATAACAAGCAATGTTGAGCATCTTTTCATGTGTTTGCTAGCCTTCTGTATGTCTTCTTTGGAGAAATGTCTGTTTAGGTCTTTCCCCCACTTTTTGATTGGGTTGTTTGTTTTTCTGGTGTTGAGTTATATGAGCTGCTTGTATATTTTGGAAATTAATCCTTTGTCAGTTGTTTCATTTGCTATTATTTTCTCCTATCCTGAGGGCTGTCTTTTCACTTTGGTTATAGTTTCCTTTGCTGTGCAAAAGCTTTTAAGTTTAATCAGGTCCCACTTGTTTACTTTTGTTTTTATTTTCATTACTCTAGGAGGTGGGTCACAGAGGATCTTGCTTTGGTTTATGTCATTGAGTGTTCTGCCTATGCTTTCTTCTAAGAGTTTTATAGTTTCTGGTCTTACATTTAGGTCTTTAATCCATTTTTAATCCATTTTAATACATCTTTGTGTATGGTGTTAGGAAGTGTTCTAATTTCATTCTTTTACATGTAGCTGTCCAGTTTTCCCAGCACCATTTATTGAAGAGGCTGTCTTTGCCCCATTGTATATTCTTGTCTGAGTTGACAGATGTTTATTGAACATTTACTGTGTTCTAGGCACAGTCTGAGCTGGTCTGTGGTCAGGAATGGAGACATCGTGTCCACTCTTGGAGTTTACATTTCAGGTGAAATAGACAGCTATTAACTGTTTGCTATGCAATTTAATTTAAAAAATTTGTAAGTGGGAAGAAATGTACATATCCACGGGACCTAAGTTAGCTACACACTAGGTCTAGTTTAATGGGTTGTCCTGGGGACCAATCTTAAATATGTAGTATTGTAAATATATATGATTTGGGATATGGTATTTTTGATCAATAACATGTATCATATGTAGCTTGAAGATTTTTAGGAAATTTAAATAGATTTAACATGTATTTATACTCTATGGAATATATTTTACTATGTATTTTTGGCTGTGATAGATCTTCATTGCTACACTGGCTTTTCTTTAGTTGCAGTAAGTGGGGCTGCTCTCTAGTTGTGGTGTGTGGGCTTCTTGTTGTGGTTCTCTTGTTGTGGAGCGTGGACTCCAGTGCACGTGGGCTTCAGTAGTTGCAGCTCCAAGGCTCTGAAGCACAGGCTCAATAGCTGTGGTGCGTGGGCTTGGTTGCTCTCAGGTATGTGGAATCTTCTCGGATAGGGGATTGAACCTGGGTCTCCTGCTTTGGTAGGTGGATTCTTTACCACCAAGTCACCAAGGAAGCCTATATGGAGTACAGTTTAACATTTGCTTTCCCAGAGTACGCTTGAGAACACAGTAGCCAAGGATTATCTAGCCCACAGGTCACTAACTTACCCTGTGCCCTCCTTGCTTGCCATGTATCACTTGTAAAATGAGGCTGTTAGGCTCTCAGGTTTCCTTTCAGTTCTAAACCTTGTATAACTGCGGTACAGAAGACCTCTGTGACCCCCAACAAACTGCCCTTCTCGTGAGCTTCCCTGCTCCTTTTAATGGCAGTCCCATCCTCCTACGTAGTAGGTTAGAAGTCTAGAATTCCTGATCCTTCTTCTCTCATACCCCATGACCTGTTCAGCTTGTCAGCACATGCTGTTCTGAACCTTGACTCGCCACCTGTCCTGCCGTCATCCTGGTCCAAGCCACCATCCATCAGCTCTTGCCTGGATTTTTACCGTAGCCTCCTAAGAGATTCTTCTCTTCTACCCGTTCCCCTGTGTGCTCGTTTCTCTGCATGGCACCCAGAGTGATGCTGTTGGAGTAAGCAAGCTTGTATCATGGCTTTACTGTAAACTTGGCAAAGCCTTTTCTTCTCAGTCAAAATCCTAATGGTGGCCCTTACAAGAGCTAGCTCCTCATTACCTTGTTGACCTCTTTTCCTACTTCTCTGTCTCCCTCAGTCTCCTGCAGTCACACGGGCCTTCTTGCATTGTGCTCCTGCCTCAGGGCCTTTGCGTGGGCTGTTCCTCTTCCTGGGATGCTCTTCTCAGGATCTCACTGCTGCTGCTGTCACTTCAGTTGTGTCCGACTCTTAGCGACCCCATGGGCTGCAGCCTACCAGGCTCCTCCATCCGTGGGATTTTCCAGGCAAGAGTACTGGAGTGGGTCAGGACCCCACATGTCCCATCAATGATGGGTGGCATCCTGTGGTAAATTGCAGTGCTTCTTCTCAATACTCCCCATCCCATGATCTTATTTTTTTCTTTATTGTACACATCACTGTGGTTTTCAATGTGTGCTTCTAAATCAGCAGCAGCAGCATCACCTTAGGAGCTTGATAAAAATGCAGATTCTTGTGCTCTTTCATCTCTAGTTTCTGCCAAATCAAAAACTCTGTGGGTGGGACCCAGCAGTCCAAATTTTGAGAATCTCTCTGATGATTTTACTGCACACTAAAGTGAGAACCACTGCTGTCTGTTGTGCTTCATAATTGTATTATCTGTTTTTAATCTTTCCTCCCCACACCTGCCCCAACTTAAGGGTTGGTTCTTTGAAGGCAGGGGTTTTGTTTCACAGTCCTGGAGTTGAGAATGGAAATGGTACTTAGTAAGTGCAGCAGATGGTGGTTGAATCAGTTAATGAACGGGCTTTCTCTATGGCCCAACAGGTAAAGAATCTTACAGGAGACAAGGGTTCGATCTCTGAGTCAGGAAAATCCCCTGGAGGAGGAAATGGCAACACACTCCAGGATTTTTGCCTGAAAAAAATCCCATGGACAAAGGAACAAAGAGTAACAAAGAATTGTACAAGACTGAGCGACTAAGCACAAGTGTGACTATGTAGTAAATTTAAATTTAAAGAATACTGAACAATAGAGTTTATTGTTATGTTCCTTATATTTTAGTCACTCCTCAGTGTTGAGAGTTTTAAATGTGACATTTTCTTTATCACAGATTTAAAAATCTGCAGATTCTTTGAAGATTGCATTATCCTCCACTAATCTGTCTTGCAACTTTGTGAAAATGATGTGAATTGTTGCTTTAAATACTTCAGGCAAATGGAATTGTACTATTTTAATCATCTCCCTTAGGGACCATCTCTTTAAGAGTGTACAGATGGGTCTTTCTGGTTTATTAGAAGCTTCTGATAGTAGAGCTAGTTGAGTGGAGATTTGTATGAAAAAGGCCGCCTGGAGGTATATGAATATTGCATTGGAAATTTAGACTCATTAATATTTGATCTAAGTTGCTTGTGCCTGTCTTTACAGGTATGTCCAGCCAGGAGCCCCCAGTGACTTCAGAGTTTGCCTTTGACTTGAGGAATGATGATTTCTGTATAATCGCTTGCCTAGTGTATTCCTCTGCTGGGCTGTCAGCTCAGCTGAGTTGGTCTTACAGATGAGGGGACTGAGGACTACTGAGTGATGGGGCCTCTTTTGAGGTCATTCTGAAGGTTGTAAAAGCTCATCACTCTCAGACCTCCCCAGACTTCACTTTTTATCCTTGGGTCACTACCCTCACCATTAGGCTTCCCACCCCTTCCCCTGGTTGCCTCTTAACTCTATGCTTTTTGACAGTTCGGCTGTCCTGGGGCCGATTTTTTTCAGCTGTAAAATAAGGAGGGTTGACAAGATGTTCTCTGAGGACCTCTCTTGCATCAGAGTGTTTGAGTGTCCCTTCATTAACTTCACTCAGTAAAGGCACCCTCAGTCCTGTTTGAAAGCATTCAAATCAGAGGGTGGTCTTGGGCATGGAGCAGAGAGAAAGCCAAGCATGTGTCCTGTGACTTCTTTCACCAGAGCATCTTTCAACAATATCCTTCCCTCCCCGATTGGGGAGCCAGGGAAGAATGGTTTTTGTGACTTGGGGGTTATTGGTGGTTTTCTTTTGCTTACTGTAATTAGCCTAGTTGGTAGAAAGCTGATCACTAGTGGGCTCTTGGTCATATCTGTCTTTAGACGGGAGAGAGCTGGCTTGTGCCTCCTGCAGCACAGCTGGACTGGGATTACTGCTGCTTCCTTCTGCTGTTGCCTCACCAGTGTGGCCTCTGGCTCCACTTCTCTGCAGAAGTTCACCTGCTTTGGGGAAGGTACGGTGGCTCTGAAACAGACGGGCAGATTATCAGTGGTTTGCCATCATCTTAAACTAGTATTCTCCTTCATGCTGGGGCCTGATTGGCTGTATGGGTCAGCCACGCTGTGAGCCAGATGGGAATTGATATTAGCCACCACTTAATCTTCTGTGGTTTTGTCTCTTCTAAGTGTGTGTTGTCTTGATTGTGAGAATGGTTGAGGAACTGGGGAGGGTTGGAGCTTGTGTAGCCTCTGAATTCTCTGTTGAATTTTTAAAATCATTTGTGTCATTGTGGATTCATTTTGATTCCATCTACAAAGCACAAACAAGTGCTGAGAACTTTTCCTTTAGAAGTACAGCACATTTGAGGGGAACTTGTTGATGGCAGTTTTGCGAGTCTGCCTACATGAAACACCTATCATGGGAAGGTTTGCTTCTTTGTGGGTTTATTTATTTATTTGTTTTGTATTTTGAAAGGTGAAACTCTAGCTTTAGGCAGTAAAATGATATCTTCTGATTTCTCATTTTGCTGCCAGAAAAGTCTGTGAAATTGTCCTTCTCTGATGTTTCAAAGACAGTCAGGACCGCCTTTCCCCATTAGTGGGAAACATGGACTTGCCCAGAGCAGCTGCAAGTGGCTGTCTAGGGCCCAGGCTCCAGAAATGTGGCAGGGCCTATCTTCTGATCGTGAATGCCTGGGACACCATGCCATGTGTGGATGGCATAGGATGCGGGGGCTGCATCCTATAGAACCGGCCTAGGCCACTGAGTACCATTTGCTTACAAGAAGGAATAGATAGAATTGAAAACCAGGAGTCTGATTCTAGGAAAGGAGTTTGGGTGGAAAGCAAGTTTTTCAGAAAACTCTTTGGTTCTATCAGGTTTCTCTTGGGGTCTGTCCCTCCTGAGCAGGACAGGTGGTGTGTGAATAATTGATTACTAGTAGTAGATAAGGTGCTGACATATTTATTATTGCCTTGCCTGAAAGATGAGCAGATCCAGTGTTATCTCGATGATAGAAATGCTGTCACCCTCACACAATTGCATATCAGAGGTTTCATGAGTGGTAGAGGTAGGAATAGTGTTACAGAAGTCTGTGCTGAGGCTGATGCTTACCCATAGCCCTTCTCCTCTGGGCCTTGGCACCTCCAGTGAGCAGCTGTTACAGACGTATTGCTAAGAAGCATTGTGATGATAAGTTATGTAAATGTATTATAAAGAGATTTTCTACAAACCTGAGTATTCCCACAAAGTGTGCCACGCATGTGAATTTGTCTTGCATGACACATTAGAATCAGTGGGTCAGACAGTTCTGTGTAGGACATGATTGTCATTTTTAGTGTTGGCCTTGAACTTGCCTGTCATAAAATACATGATTGTGTGCTCAGCTTTTTCCCTGCTGCTCTTTTTCTACCGCTGTGGTTCTCTTCACCTCAGAGACGAGGGAGGGAAGCCCTGGAGCTGGCTGTGCTTGGCGGGCTTCTGGTCAGACTGAATCATGCTGCATCGAATCAGCTGGGGCTCCTACTGCAGTGCAGATTCTGATCCACTCAGTCGGGGGTGGGACCCAAGATTCTGCATCTTCCAGTGGCTTCCAGGTGGTGATGTTTCTGGTCTATGGATGCCACTTTTTTTAAAAATTTTAAATAGTGTCTGTTTATTAGCTGGCTTGAAATTTTTTTTTTTATTAGCTGGCTTGAAATTTTTTTTTTTTTAATTAGAAGATAGTTACTTTATAATGTTGTGTTCCACAATAATGTGAATCAGCCGTAAGTTTTGTTTCTTCCCTCTTCAACCTCCTTCTCACCACGTTCCCCATCCCACCCCTCTAGGTCTTCACAGAGCACCTGGTTGAGCTCCCTGTGTGATATACCAACTTCCCACTAGCTATCTGTTTTACATGTGGTGATGTATGTGTTTCAATGCTACTCTCTCAGTTCATCCTACCCTCTCCTTCCACTGCTGTGTTTGGACCCCACTTTGAATAGCAACAATCTAGGCAAGAATGTTGAAGATTTGTCTCACTTCTGTTTTCCTAGAAGTATATTGTTCCATTTCTGGAACATTTATGTAAGCATAGCCCCAAACAGAAACTATTGGCAAAAAGTGAATTAGGCACTTCTTGCAGTATGTTTTTCTCCCCTTGAGACGCCTGTGCATTTATTTGTTTTGATTTGTGCCTCTGGCATTAAAAGCCATGCTTAATGCTGGAACTGTTTAAAACTCTAAAATTGCACTGTGTGCTAAATTGTTTTCTTGCTGATTTTTACCAAGTCCATTTGGGGATTGCATTGATTTTGGCCTCTGATGCAATGGTTAACCCATAGCAGCCAGGAAGTTTGAATAAACATGGCTGGGCTGGAGAAAGACAGGGGATTGTAAGAATGAAGTAGCCTTTGGGTACAAATACCAGAGTGCTTGACTGTCAGGGGATGGAGCAATACAGACATTTAACGATCAATGTAACATTAGTCAGTTTCAGGGTTGGTGCAGAAGCCCATGGGTAGCACAGAGGTCATGGGTTCTTTCCTACTTTTTGTTCTGCACATCCTCATGTGACAAGGACAGGAGCCTTTGTAGGGTGGTTCTGTATTCAGGCAGAACATTTTTCCACAAGGGTCTGTACCATATTCCCCTTGAATCCCATGGGCCAGGACTAGGGCAGACCCTCAGACCAGACTCCATGATGAACTTAGCTCTTGATTGATCAGGATGCTGGTAGAGAGCAGGGTGTGGATGTTGGGTAGGCAGCCAGCAGTGGATGCTGCCAAGGACTCATATTCTGAAGAAACTGCTACACGTGTTCTGTGCCCCTCATCGTACAACTTGTGTAACTGTTGCTCGGAGAAGTTAAATGGATGAGCAGGGAGTGTAAATGGCATCACACACAGGCCTGTTTGATTCCAAAGTACCTTTTCAGGGTAGAAATGTGGCTCCTCCCTACTCACAGTGCCCCCCCCTTGGTGCCTCTACTCTTCCCTGTAGTTTCGGGGTCCTTGATGGGGACTCACTGGGAATCATCAGGTCCCCATGGTGTGCCTCTGAGCAGGGGTCATGTATTCCTCACCAGGCGTGTCACTATTTGGCCTCTAACTTAGTTATGCTTATACTCAAGATCCAGTGAAACACCACTGTTAGAAAACGTTGCCTTTGAGCAGAGTGGCATTATTTCAAGAAGGAAACCAGCCCAGTGAATGTTGGCGGCCACTGTGAATGTGGGTCTTGCCATATCCTGCCTTGGCCCCCTGGGCTCTGGGCTCTGCTTCTTGCCCTGGATTTGTCAAGTGCTATACCCGGAGGTGCTGCATCCCCTGGAGGATTTTGAGGCATCCTCTCTGCCTGTCTGCATCCATGCTGACCCGCACTTTCTCTTGCCTGGTTTCAGGGATTCCCAGCAGGCATGAGGCGATGCTTCCCTTGGCACCCCCCGCTTCCCCCTCTGTTTCCACACCGACTTGGCTTTTAGTGCCTGGAGGTCTGATGACGCTCTGAAGGTGGCACACCTCCAGGAGAGTGAAAAGTTGTTCCTATTGAATTTACAAACAGAAATAAAGCAAGCAGAAAAACTGGTAGAAAAGGCTGGGTTTAATTATACATTAAAAAAAATAAAATTGAGAAACAGTAATTTGGGCAGTTAAAAATGTGAAAAGTGCTGTGCTCAAGGGTGTGATAATGGGGTAAGTGTCGCAGTCAGAAGGGAACAATACTGGAAAACTGTTGGCTTCCACATGCAGGATGAATTATGTCTCAGGATTTTGCTGTGTTTTACTTCGGATGCCTTGTAGGGGGAGAGTTTAGTTAGGGCTCTGATCAGAGCAGTGCTTCAGAAAGACAATTGGATTTGCAGTTGGAGAAGGCATGCCTCTGATTCTGTAATTGCTAAAGCCTTCACTTACTCTGATCTGTGTTTTTACTCTCACCAAGAAAATCAGAGGGTGGAAAGGGCACCTTGGAGTTACTGGCAAAGAGAGGATGATGCGTTTAACATAATTTTTCTATTCATGTTGTTTAGATCATGTAATAGTCACTCTATTTAATGTCATATTTTCCCCATGTTAGCTCTCACTAGAAGACTGGTATTGTGTTTAAATCAAGGCTCTGTAAAATTAAAGCTATAGCCACTCCAGTTGGACATGATTATGCTTACCCAAGGCTTCCTGAACATAGATGGGGCACTGCACCATTGACACACGTTTTACTATTGGGTTGGCCAAAGCATTCGTTCTTTTCCATAAGATGGCTCTAGGAGTGCCTTGTCTTTAACTTCATTTGAAACAATTTTGTTAGCTTGTATTGTGACTGCTGTTATATCAGTGTGTATTAAAAATAAAAAACTTAACCAAAATTGAACTTTTGTATAGCCATTTTAACATTGAAGGTGAAATAAAAATAGCAACATTTTCAGCATATTATGCTTTATTATTTCAAGAGAGGTAAAAATGCAGCTGAAATGAAGACAAGAAAGATTTGTGCAGTGATGGCTAAGGTACTGTGACTGATCAAATATGTCAAAAGTGGTTTGCAAAAGTTTTATGTTGGAGATTTCTTGCTAGATGATGCTTCACTGTTGGGTAGACCAGTTGAAGCTGATAGTGATCAAGTCAAGATGTTAATTTTCTGAAAAAAAAAATCAACATTATATCATATGGGAGATAGCCAACATACTCAAAATATCCAAATGAAGTGTTGAAAATCATTTGCACCAGCTTGGTTATGTTCATCCTTTTGTTTGGGTTCCACATAAGCTAAGTGAAAAAAACCTTCTTGACCATATTTCCGCATATGATTCTCTACTTAAATGTGAAGAAAATGTTCCATTTTTAAAACAAATTGTGACAGCATTAAGAAGTGGATACTGTACAGTAATGAGGAGCAGAAGATGATGGGGTAAGTGAAATGAACCACCAACAACCACACCAAAGGCCAGTCTTCATCCAAAGAATGTGATGTTGCGTATATGGTGGGATTGAAAGAGTCCTCTATTGTGAACTCCTTCTGGAAAATCAGACAAGATTA